GCTGCCAATGGGCCACCCCCTCTGGTGGCTCCTCCCAGCCCATCTGGTTTCGCCCTCCTAGACTTCCCAGCCCAGGGCCTTTTTGTCTCCCTCAGGCTCCCCCACCTCTGTTCCTGGCCTGACGCCCGGCTGTCTATCCCTGTCCCCCTTTCCACAGGACCCAAAGGTGTATTCCATCTTCCCCTCACGAGGCCCCAGAGCCGGGGGCACCCGCCTAACCCTGAACGGCTCCAAGCTCCTGACTGGGCGGCTGGAGGACATCCGAGTGGTAGTTGGAGACCAGCCTTGTCACCTGTGAGGGCCGCTTCCCCATTGTGCAAAAGTCCATGCACTCCAGGGTGGGATACTGGGGAGAACAGAGGTGGCCAGGGCCAAGTCTGCTCCATCAGGTGGCCAGGCCCTCCCGAAGCTGGGGCTGTCGTGGGAGTGTAGCCTGCAGGTCTCCCGCGGAGATGGCAGTCAGCCCTGAAGGGAAGTGAGCTGAGGCTTGAGTGGGTCCCCTGTCCTGGAATCATCCCTCCTTCCCCTGCCACGTGGACTCCTCCCAGCTCATCACGTGCCCCTCTGGGCAGCCTGGCCTACCTCCCACCCTGCCTCCCTTCCCCAGGCTGCAGGGCCAGCAGGCGGAGCAGCTGCGATGTGAGACCAGCCCACACCCCACACCTGCCGTACTCCCCGTGGCTGTGCTGTTCGGGGCCGCTGAGCGGAAGCTTCAACACAGCCAGTTTGAGTACACGTCAGACCCCAACGTCACCTCTGCAGGCCCCACCAAGAGCTTCCTCAGGTGCTGGGTCGGGGCCGGCTGCGTGGCGTGTGGGAGGGAGGTCTCTGCAGGTCCAGTACCCGTGGGGTTTGTAGGGCTGGGGGGGGAGGGCTGGGACTCACGCTGCTGGGGAGAGGGCCTTGGGCTGAGGCTGGGGCTGAGCCAGCCTGGCTGGGGCTGGGCTGTGCTTTAAAGCCTGGTTCTTGCAGTCATGCGTAGCTCACGGGCTGTGTTGCAGTGGAGGGCGTGAGATACAGGTCCATGGCCAGAATTTGGATGTGGTACAGACACCAAGAATCCGGGTGACTGTCTCGCCAAGAGCACTGCAGCCGGCCCAGGGGCTCGGGCGGAGGCGCCGCGTGGTCCCCGAGACAGTGTGCTCCCCTGGAGCCTCCTGCGGCAGCCATCAAGTAGGACACCCATGGGCATCCCCTGCCTGTGCTGGGCTGTCACCCACCCCACCCCACCCCCGCCCTGAGGACACCGTGGGTGGTGGGTGCCACCCTTGTGGGCCCCTTCCTGCAGCCCTCCGCTGACCCTCCCCTCGCCCCCCCAGTTTGAGGAGCCCTGCCGCGTGAACTCGTCCCGGCTCATCACGTGCCGCACGCCTGCCCTCCCGGGCCTGCCCGAGGACCGCTGGGTCCAGGTGGAATTTATCCTCGACAACCTGGTCTTTGACTTCGCCACGCTGAGCCCTACCCCCTTCTCCTATGAGGCTGACCCCACTCTGCAACCCCTCAACCCTGAGGACCCCACCACGCCGTTCCGGCACAAGCCCGGGAGCGTGCTCTCTGTGGAGGTACTGCTTCTGCTCAGACGGGGCAGTGCCCGGGACCCTCCATTTGGCTGGACAGTATTGCTGTGTGGTGGAGGGGTGGGTGACCTCCGAAGGGCTAGTGGACGCACCTGGTGCCTCACCCTTCATGTGGGAGGGCTGAGGGGGCCGGCGGGGGGTGCCTAGCCTGATGCCTGGCAGGGCCTGGCTCCTGACATACTCCATGGCAGGCATCTGAATGACAATATGTAAATGGCTTGGCACACACATTAGGTGGGTGGCATGGCACACAGTAGCTGCCTGGGCTGGTGCCCATTTGAGAGCCTGACTCATGCAGACACACACTTGGCATGTGTTCTTACACATGCAGTAGGTGGGCAACCCATTATCACCGACCCAGTGGAGCCAGCAGACATAGTAGGGGCTGTGGCTTTGGTAGGCAAGTGGGCACAATTTAGGATAACTCTCTAGTCTTTAGACTTTTAGCTCTGGTAAAGTTGAGACTTGAGAAAGAATGATAGGGAAAGGCACAGCAGGGTTGGGACGGGGATTGGCAGCTTGGAAGACACCCATGGGACTGCCACCCACATACAGGGGAAGAGGCGCTGAGGCACCGTCAGCCCTGCTCCTGGGAGTGGGTCTCAGGACCATTCCTCCCACATTTGGGGAGATAGGATCTGAGTGGCCACCAGCTCATCCCCCTAGGGCAGATTCTGAGTGACTGATCAGTGACCTGTGTTCCAGGGTGAGAATCTGGACCTTGCAATGTCCAAGGAGGAGGTGGTGGCCATGATAGGAGTCGGGCCCTGTGTGGTGAAGACGCTGACCCGGCACCACCTGTACTGCGAGCCCCCTGTGGAGCAGCCCTTGCCCCTCCAGGAGGCACCTGATGCTCTGCCTGAGTTCATGGTCAGTGGGCAGGCCCTGGGCTGGGCCAGGCACTGGGCGTGTGCTGAAGCCTTGCTCACGGGTGGCTTCCCTATGCAGGTGCAGATGGGGAACCTGCGCTTCTCTCTGGGCCATGTGCAATATGATGGCGAGAGCCCCGTGGCTTTTCCCATGGCAGCCCAGGTGGGCTTGGGAGTGGGCACCTCTCTTCTGGCTCTGGCAGTCATCATCATTGTCCTCATGTACAGGTGGGTGCCACCAGATGTGGCTGGGTTGGGAAGGGGCAGATTAGACTAGGTGTCAACACACTTCCTATAAAGGGCCAGAGAGTAAATATTTTAGGCTTCTTTGGGGTCAGGTGGTCTCAGTGGCAACTGCTCAGCTCTGCCATTAGAGTGTAAAAGTAGCCATAACCAGTATGCAAACACATGAGTATGGCTGTGTTCCAACAGATCTTTAAGTTTTTAAAAAATTTTTTATTGACTTTAGAAAGAGGAAGGGAGAGAGAATCATTGATTTGCTGTTCCACTTACTGCTGCATTCATTGGTTGATTCTTCTATGTGCCCTGACCCAAGACTGAACCTGCCACCTCGGCATAGCAGGATGATGCTCTAACCACTGAGATACCCGGCCAGGGCCCCAATAAGTCTTATTTATAAAAACAGGTCATGGTTATTTGGCCTGATTATAGTTTGCTGATCGTTGTGCTAAATTGTCCTGGGCTAGACAAGACATAGGTGGGTATGAATTGCCTGGGATGGGACAGGCTAAATTATTTTGGGCTAGGCCTTGGCTTGGCTGGGCATGGCTGGGTCCGACTGTTGCCTAGGCAGGCCTGGGCCAGGTGGCACCCGCAGGGGCTCCATCCTCCTCCAGCCTTTCTCGTCCTGCCCTTGGTACTGAGCAGGAGGAAGAGCAAGCAGGCCTTGAGGGACTACAAGAAGGTCCAGATCCAGCTGGAGAACCTGGAGAGCAGTGTGCGGGACCGCTGCAAGAAGGAGTTCACTGGTAAGGCTGCAGAGAGGGGACCCCAGGCCCCTAAGCCTGCTGCCATCACATGGGCTGAGCGCCCAAACCTGGCCCCTTCTGCTCAACAGACCTTATGACCGAGATGACGGATCTCACCAGTGACCTTCTGGGGAGCGGCATTCCCTTCCTTGACTATAAGGTGTATGCTGAGCGGATCTTCTTCCCTGGGCACCAGGAGTCACCCTTGCACCGGGACTTGGGTGTGCCTGAGAGCAGGCGACCTACTGTGGAGCAGGGGCTGGGGCAGCTCTCCAACCTGCTCAACAGCAAGCTCTTCCTCACCAAGGTGCCAGCCCTGCCCTGGCCCCACCCTGGCTCCCCCACCCCTTCTCCATCCCCAGGTTTCTGAATCGGCCCCTCC